TTGTGTTTTTGGGTTTTTTGTTTTGGGTTTTTAGGGCTTTTCCACCTTTTACCCCCTTCCCTGGGGCAGCTACTATTCACGTGAATAGGGGCTGCCCTAGCTCCCCCCTTGCCATGGCTAAGGGCAAATGGGTGGAGTTGCTCTAAAAGCATGCCCATGCTTTATGTAGGACATGTTTTGTTTATTGCCTCAATGAGTCATGCTTTCGGTGGAGTGCTCTCTAGTCTCTAGGATGTTTTCTGTTTTTGCTAAAAAGTCTCTCTCTCAAAAGAGGCGTTGCCTCTATTTGTATTGGAGCTGTTGCTGTTTTGATCAGATTGAATGAAACTTATCTGTTTTTGCTCCAATCTTCTTCCTTCTATTTCTTCTACGTGCCTACATGCAAGTTTGTATTTCATTCTGTCTTCCTACTTGTTGTACTAGATAAATATTGAAGTCCTTACTCAATCTAAGGCAAAAAAGAAAAGAAAAAAAGAATCTATATTGGGCCAGTTTTCCACCCAATTCATAATCGCTTTGTTTAAAGTCAATACTTGGGTGTATTTTTCATTTTTCCCTCTCAATCTGTTGGAGTTTTTGACTGTCAACAGTGGCACGCCTTCACAATCACAACAAACTCCTCAGTTAATCCCACACGCATGGCTGGCGGGTCTTTTCGGGATAAATAGTAATTAAAAACTCCAAATTGAAGTGGCAATTCGATCTCTATTGAAAAAGAAACAAAAAAAGGCACTTTCCATTGAAGTTGCAATCCACTTTATTTTTGTGTCATGTGTTTGACAGTTTGGTTAGATTTCGTGGATACCAACGATTGGAGGCAACTCTCGCCGGGTGAATTTATGACAAAGAACTATCAAGTTTATTACTAAACAAAATTTGTGATGGAGACGTCAAGTAATGTAATGCCATTTAGAATTAGAACCTAATTTATATATCGATGCATCATTAATAAACAAAATTTAGAAGCTAAACTATAACCCTGTTTTCCCCTTGCATTATTTGCTCTTCGTTCTCGTGTTGAAAACTCTCTAAACCTCTTATATCTCACTCTGGTCTCCACTCCAGCCCCTGGTAACCTTTCTATTTCCACAATCTATTGCTCAAGTTAATACTACAAGTGAACTTGTGCACATGTTGGTTAGGCAAGTTGGTCAAGGCAATGTGTCCGCCTCAAGTTCAAATCCCCTCCCCGTAAGTAGTTTAGACTATCGCTAATATATATAAAAAGATATATTCCAAGTTCATATTGCTATTCCTTTACTGAAAAAATTTTAAAAAAAGGAAACAGAAAAACAAGAAACTGCACTTTCATTGAAGTTGCAACCCAATTTTTTTGTCTTAAATCTTTAGTTCTGCTGGTTCGGTTAAGCAGATTTGATGGATGTGATGTAGAACAAACGGCAGATTTTATCGCGGTTGACCTAGAAAAAAGGACGTAGCGGGAATTTGCAGATTTGTCATCCGAGCTTTGCTTAGGACGCAAAATACCATTTCGGAAAGGGAACGACGCCACGATGGATTTTGGCATCCTGAGGTCGTTTGGCCTTCCAAAAATGCATTCAACGTTTCGTAGTTAATTTTCGGAATAAATTCTGTTTTTCAGTTTTAATGTAATAACTCGCCTAGCAGCTCAAGGGTTGAGAGCTGTGTATTTAGACAGATTTGGTGAACGTTTTTCATCATCTCAAATTTTAATAAACTTATCCCAAGAGAATTACTCTTAATTTCTGGTGGAATCCAGATTTCTTGTTACTCAAGGTTTTCGTTTGAAACCTTTGTTGCTTGTGCTGCGTCAGGATGTCAACAGTGATTGGAGGACCCAGTTTCTCCCAATTTCATGGCAAAGAATTGTCGTCAAGATGTAAGGGTCACTGTGTCAACAGATTATACAGATACATTTTAGATTATTGATTAATGACATGTTATTACGTTTAAGTGTTATTATTTTGTTTGAGCTCTCCTGATAATCAGTACTAGTAACATTTGATTAAATGTATTGCTTATGCAGAATGGATGCAATAAAGAGGTATCCTCCCTTCTCCGGGGACGGATTAGATGAAATCATTAGAACTGCTGTTGCCTTAAGCCAGGTATAACTAAGGTTTCCTAACTATTTTTCATTGTACATTTTGCTAACAGAGAAGAATGAGAGAAAAAAAATCTTGAATATTCATAGAAAGAAACAGAGGAAAAGATTTCGGTATTTTTCAGTATATTGAATTGTTGTACAAGTGAGTAGTTCTGCCAACATTGTTGGGTTTTAACGATCAGCCCTGCCAAAAATCAACCATAAAATTTTCATTTAACTATTTGAAATCATTGATTTTATTGCAAGCACTATGTTTTTCTATCTAATTTTTTCACAATGAGATGTCTAAAATGCTTCCAGTTTGAGTAATTTTTTATTTGCGATAATGATCATTGAATTTAAAATGGATCGTTAGGATCATTGAAATTCACAAGTCTATTGTTTATTTTTCAACCTCCTGCTATTGCAGCTAAACGTGTAATCTAAGTTTTGTGTGCGTCTATTGTCCAGACGGAATATCTACGGACAATTTCTCTAAAGATGATCATGATTGCGTCGAGGTCTGACGCTCTTGGCCGAATGCGACCATCCAACCTGAAACAACGTCGCATCTTTGCTAGAGATTTAGGGCCCGTCTGGTAACGTTTTCGGAGAATGTTTTCTGAGAATATTTTCAGAGAATGAAAACAAGAAAACAAATTTGCATTTTCAGGAAATGAAAATGCGTCTGGTAGATTAATTAGAAAATATCTTTAGAAAACAAAAACAATGAAAACGTGTCTGGTAGTACAATTGTTTTTCAGGTGTATTTTTGCTAATTTTAGTTCTAATTTTTTTTAATTCTGATATTTTTAGAGGCTAAAATTATTGTAAACAATGAAAAAAAAATTAAGCTCAAAAACTACCTTATCTCCTTTTTTTCCTTTTTTTCTTTTTCTTCTTTTTCTCCTTTTCTCTCTTTCCTCCTTTTTTCTTCTTCTTTTCCTTCACATGGCTGCTTCTTTTTTCTCTTTTTCTTCCTCTTTCCTACTTTCTTCCCCTTTTCTTCTTCCTTTCCTTCCCCAGGCCGTTTCTTTTTTCTCCTTTTCTTCCTCTTTTCTTCTTCCTTTCCTTCCCAGGCCACACCCACTCCTCCTTCCTTCCATGGCTGTGATGGTTTGATTGGGTGATGATGGTGGTTGAGTTGGGTATGTGGTGGTTCTTCTTCTTGTCTCTGTTTTTTTTTCTTCTTCTTCCTCTGTATTTTTTTTTCTTAATTTGCAGATTTGTTTATTTTGGGTTGGAGAAGATGGGTGTTGTTCCTGTTGGTGGGTTTATTGGTTGTCAAGAGAGAGAGCTAGAGTTGTTGATGGGATGCATTCTTGTGTCTTCGGAAAACACTGAAAATGAAATCACTGAAAACAACTTTTTTTCATTTTCAACTTTTGTTCACAAAGTTAGATTTGTTTTCAGAAAACGTTTTGTGAGGGAAAACGAAAACGATGCACCGAACGTGTTTTTGTGAAAAACAGGAAACAAAAACAGAAAACAAGCTCTAAAAACATTACCGAACGGGCCCTTAGTGTTTTGACTTGGTCTTATATAAAATGTATCTATCAAATATAAAAAAATCAGAAACTCAACAAAAAAATGAAGTAACAAGAAACAGTTCCTAGGCTAGTTGCAAAATTCCTGATTTAATTTTCTGAAATTACTCTATACTTTATGCGCTTGGTCATCTTCTTGATGTTATAATTTTGTCAGTTTGTCCTATAAAGAGCAGGTCCTAATAAATTAGGAAGTTGTAGGGTATATGAGAATCTTGCAGCCTCCTCTGGCTCAAATATCCTGATGCTTTAGCCATTCTAATCGATTTGCATATGAGATTGATCCATACTGTTTCTTTTCTTTTCTTTTTTCAGGGCATCATTCAAACTAGACTCAGAATAGTTCATCATTTTTTGATTGAAGTAGAAATTGTTTCGATTAAATTAGCCGTCAAGATTCTCAATGTTTCGTGGATGATCGGCCTTTTATTCCAGTGTTTGCTTTGAAAAATACGATGTTCAAGCATGGCTTGATTGGATTCAACCTTGGTTCATCTCATACCCACAAGACAAGATATTCAAGAGGAGCTCATAACAGAAACAGATGATTTTCATAAATATATTAGTAACAGAGCAAACAACAATATAAATATAACATCACACATGCGAAGCTGAAAATGAATTCTGCATCTATGAACATCGGTGCATGAAAAGAAAGAATCCTCTGAAACAGAACCATAAACTAGTAGGATGTAGATAAATGCAAATGTGGGATCTTCACTATGGCAACAGAACTAGATAGAACTGTTTAATTTGATGGAGGAGGGAACAGGGAAGGAATTGTTGGAATTGTTGTTGGAATGGTGGGGATTGAAGGCATCGTAGTCGGGATAGTTGGCAATGGAGTGGAAGGAAGTGGAGGAAGAGTGACCTTGGGAGCAGTGGGGATGGTTGGCAATGTTGGTTTTGGCATAGATGGGATTTGGGTGCTTGGGAAAGCAGGCAATGTGGGCTTTGGCAGTGCTGGGATTAAAGGGGTGGTTGGCAATGGTGGCAATGCGGCTTTAGGCAGTGTTGGGAAGGAAGGCAGTGGAGGCAATGTAGCCTTGGGAATGGGAAGAGATGGAATGGTAGGCAGCGGCAATGCCGGGGGTGGAGCTGCTGTGTCCAGAAGGTGCCGGGCCGCCAGGCTCACATCAAGGCTTGATAAACACAATGCTGCTACCATCATAGACAATAGTAGGAAACAATGCTTGAAACCTGCCATATTGGTTGATATATAGGATCACACAGAGCAAGTTCTTCAATATATGTGAGTAATTGTTTTTGTTTCTTGTTTGAGTTGAAGGCATAACATGTCTTATAGGTATTTATAGGGAGGATGTATAAACTAGTTGTCAATGTTTGATGAAATCTAGTTGGGGTTGTGTGGAGAAGTAGTGGTTAGCTCACCTTCGCAAAAACATTAATTCGAAACGTATCTTTATTTAAAACTATCCACCAACCCTTTTGTGACATTGTCCAACGTAAGCAGTCTATTATGTAGCATGATCTCAATGTCATTCAGATTAGAAGTAGATGGTATTGGTACCCAACATTTTCTTTTCTTCTATAGCCTTGTCTTCTCTGACAGTCGAAGTCTAACCCCACAATATATTTATCAATTAATGGCTATTTCCTTCATATTATTAGAAATAGATGGTAATGTTTCAATGAATTTTTCTTTTTTCTAATCATCTAAACTCAGGGTAGACTAGCGTATCAACCCACAGCCATGAGCCCACACTTAAATCTTGGTTTGATCCCGTGGGGAATCGAACTCATGACCTGTGGAGCACACACAATCGCAAGTTCGCCCTAACCACTGGGCTACACCAAGGATGGGTGAGTCAGAATTTTGTTAACTTATAAGAAGTGATTATATTTAAGTTCTTATTTGTTTTGTAAATGGCCATATGAATTTGATGGCCTGTTGACGCAAGATGCATCTCCTCAGCATAGTTCCACAAGTAGGAGGGAGACAAATGATATTCATTCCTATTAATGATAAATTAATAAGAAATCAACTAAGATACATATACTTGATCCTAAATTGTGTTAGCATATCAAACACAAGTTATGGTTGATGTATGGGTTAGCTCTACTCACAACCAAATCACTGAGGAAGATGAAACCTCTTACTAAGCCCTGCAAAAATAGGCCTGTCAATAACCACCTTCAATGCCCTCCGTAGCGCCACCATCCCTTCTTTTCCATCACCCAACCCTTGAATCCACAACACATTTTTACTCCTTCCACCAACTATCACCATCTCAGCCCTCACCACCCTCCCTTTCACAGAGCCCAGTGCCCTTGTCATGTCCGATATCAGCCCCGGCCTGTCGTCACAGCTCAATGTGGCCTTCACAAGCCCTTCTTGCTCTCCATCACACTGTTCCAAACTCAACTTGTCAACCCCACCTGGTAAAACACATTCATCACTGTCACCGTGGCGACATGCTGCTTCCACTTCTGCCACCGCCCTCTTCAGCTCCCTTACTTGCCGGACCGTCTCTGCAAGCACTGATGCCTTGTCCATCTGTGTCAAAGAAATATTTTATTTTAGAGAAATTGCGAAATACATGACATGTTATATTGTCATACTACAAACGAAGCTGCGCACATTCAAACATAATTCCAACTAATTAATCAAACAGTTTTTTATTCACAATCTATGTTAGGTTGTCGAACTATAAATCAGGCCGCACATATGTTTAAACATAATTCTTAACCGATGGTTCTAATTCACAATCTGGTTGGCAACAGAAGGTTTTTTTTTTATGCACATGCATGTTAAGAGTAGATAATTACTTTGATCAAGTTTGGGAGGACGGTACGAAGAGTGGCATATTGACCATTGATTCGCATCCTTCGTCTTCTCTCTGAGTCACTGTGTTTCTTGGCTGCAATTACTTTGGTCTCCGCCTTTGATTTTGGTTTAAAGAAGCTTTTGGAGTAGATAGTATTCACTGGGAATACTCCTTGGCCTTTTGGGAAGCTGATTTGCTTCGGATAATAACTTGGGATGGACAGCATATCTTGCTCTAGCTAGCTATAACTTGTCTAAGATAATCGCACCATTTAGATAACAGAAAGAAAAAAAAAATCTGATAACAAAAGAATTAAAGAAAGAGAAAGGGAAATAGAACAAATTGGAAAAGAACAGAAGAGAGGGATGCTACCTGTTGCAATAGTAAAACCATGAAAGAATAGCGCTAAAAACAATGGAGGGAAAGACAACGTTTGTGTTTTATATAGGAAATCTTCTGCAACCAGTGCTTTCAAATACCAGATAACTGTATATTGAAGCAAATAAATGCTACGATGGAATATATTTGCATTTAAATGTGACAAATTGAACCTAATAAATGACATTTACTATTAGGGTAATTATTGTGCGATCCTGAAATCTGGATATTGGGTGTGCTGTAAATTTAAAAATTGCGATCATTTAGAATAAACCAAAAAGGCAAAACAATATCAATAAAATACAGAAGATGACTTAGGGTATCAGTATCACATGAGTCACGAATCACATCCATTACTCTCTCATACTTGGTTCTTTTTTTCTTTTAAATCAATATCATCGACTTCTTCCAACAAAGTAGATATTGATGTCACTAGACTAAATAGTCATTTGACAATCGTTCGTTCTTACTATCAATTTTTCTCCTCTATTTTTATTTTTATTTTTATATAAATATAATACGTCATTGCTAATAAGGAGAAATACTCCAGCCAAATAGTGCCCTTAATTTCTATTAATTATTTCCTTTCCGAATTTACTTAAGAAATTGTTAGGGAGACTATTATTGTACCGCTTTGTGTATCATGTCTCTAATAGAGGTAAGACCTACTTGCATTGGTTGTCTCTACCTCTGCTAGAGAAGTACAACAATGTGGTCTCCCTAGCATTACTCTTTAAACACGCGATACAATTTTACCTGCTTTTATCTCAGTGTCACTCCTCTCAGAACGCATGTGCCAAGTATTAATTACACAAAAGAATGGTTATTGGTTAAACTTTTGAAATATATATAACTATGATTGAAAGTAGCAACAAATATGCATGCTCTCAAAAATTAAAAATAATAAAAAGGACAATTTGGTTTCTTCATATTACCATTTGCATTTTTACACAACTCAATTAATGAATATGTTGCTTCTTCCTTATCCCTTCTAGCAAAGCCAGACCCCTTCACATCATCATATCAGTCCAAAAATAAAGCAAAATCCAAGTTGACTGTAACTTATGACTATAAAAAAAGGTGCAAATTCCAATTGTCCAAAATATGCACGGCATCAGTGCTTAATATAAACAGTTCTCATACATAAATCATGGCCTGTAATGGCAGAGCCCTGAGGGCACAATATAGTAGCCATAGCTGCCATCAACCTGACATTGTTAACTCCATTGCTAATATTTTTCATGGACACCATCTCATATTCATAATTATGTAAACAGGCAACAACTAAAATAATTATATCATACTCTGTTTTAATACTTTGTAGCACAATGCAAAAGCATCAAAACATTCATATTATACTCTAGAAGCCTATCAGTGGTGGCCCTGTGAGTTGCTTAACTTGCTTTCTCTAATTGTTCTTTGATAGCACCATGAGAACTACCTGAAGGACCAGCATTTTTCCACGAGTTTTCTCCTATATAACATCCTCTATACATATAACTTACAGCATTCTGCTATATAGCAAAATTCAACCTACAATTATCATTATCTTTCCCTTACTGCCTTCAACTATTGACCATCAGCTTTAGGTCTTTCATCTCACCACCACTAAAGGCCTAACGATAATATATCCGAAGAGAGGAACAGTAAGAGCCTAAAGATATATCCAATGTATCTTAAACAATATACTCATAAGGATGACAAAGAAGGCCTGCAATAAGAGGATGTATTAACTTACACGATAGCTAAATAAGAAAGGATACGAAGTAAGTACATTCAAGATTGTTAATGTATGAGGAAAAAGGATAGTAACTCTTACTAAAACTCCATTTCATTATTTATCACATTGCATCTCTTACCACAATATGCTACACAATGGCTGCATCCATTCATCTTTTTGTGGCAGAGGTGAGAGGCACTTCTTCACTTTTTGAGCTGGGGTAACTTCCGTATTGCTACTTGGTTGTTAACTCATTTTAAAATTGGTATAGTCAAGATTAACAAGCTCCCGACAAACCAAATGGAAACAACTAACAGTAAGGATTTAAGTTGAATAATTCAGTGTGTAAAGCAATAACTCGTACAGGTCCCAAGCAAAACAGAACATAAAAACCTTGATTGCCAATTTACCATTCACTGCAAGCATTGTTCAATCAAAGTGGGGTGAACCATTACAAGAAAGAAACTACCATCAACTATCAGGTCATTGTGCTTCAAAATCAGTCATCCTAATCTATTTATCCACAAAATTAAGCAGACTTACAGCTGAAGCAAATCCTGCAAGAGATACCAGAACATCTGCTTAACTTTTCATTTTATAAGATAAAGTTGGATAATATTACCTTAGCTAAACTATTACCTAATTTCTACTATGAGATCAAAGCACCTGGTTGATGAGTCTACCGTGTAATCCAGTCTACTCAAAAGCCTTGCTCCTACTTGCTAAACCCTTCAAAAGTTAACCCATATAAAATTTTGGAATTTCCATCACCACCCTGAAATCTCTTACCTTTCCATTCCTTTCAAACCGGACTATCCCCTATACCAACATAGATATCATCTTCTCCTTCAAAAAACTCCAGCCCATCCATTCCACTCCCACTTCCACTACCTCCCTTATCAATTCCATTTCCATCTTCAACACTCGTGTCCGCTCCTTCCACCCTCTCATCACCCATCAACTCAACCCTCCTGCTTCTCATCTCATTTCCCATTATCTTCTTCGTATTCCTTGCCACGGATTTCGATTTGATGCTCTTCAGACGCCTTGCTAGAGTCTTCACCCTCTTCACTGGTGTCCTCCCTTCACTCCTCAACTCTGCTCTTCCACTCCCACCTATATCAGTTCCCACAACTCCTTCACTCCCAATCTTTACCTTTTCTTCATGCATTCCCTCAAAACCCACATTACCATCCACTAAATCATGCTCAAACTCATCATCAGAGATAACCACAACATCCTTGTCTTTCTTGCCAGTTACCTCTGTCTCCATCTGCTTCTTTGGGTCCATGTACTCCATTTGAAAATACCCAAAACAGAAATTGTACTGCTCCTTCCCCTGCACTGTAATATCCGATGATGGCGCCTTTATTGCCACT